AATTCCTATGGCTCAATGGTGGCTAGATGTTAGCTTCCCAGACTGCTGAACACGCACTCATTTAAAGAGCAACCCTGAGACAGGAACACAAACCCATTTCCTATTCTTCATGCCTGCATCTCAGCTCTTCAAGATCTTTCTCCAAAGCTGCAAAGCCACGTTGCTACCATCTAGTAAAAGCGTTGCATGCAAAGGTCAGATGCCCTTCAATCAAAATACAGTATACAGTTCGGAGAGCTGGAAGGCCTCCTTTAAAACAAAAATATACAATGCTATTGTCAATATCCTTTTTTTTTTGGTCTTTTCTCTTCAGGCTAATTTACTTAGCATATTCTCTTATCTGCATCTTCTTGCTGCTTAGCAAAGCCCTGATATTTCTACTTGGAAAGTCTTTCCAAAGCAAACCGGCTTATCTGCAGTAATGAACACTCATGCAAACAGGCACAAAATTAAATGGCTTCTTTACAGTGATTATGATAGAGTGAGCCATGCTTAATCTACATAATCAAATTGCTTCTATGTTCAGCAATAATACCTTTCCTGCTGCCCAGAGAGCAGCCCCTGTTAAACCTGCTCTCCCAGCTTCCTTCTGAGAAACACCAACTGCAGTGGAAGCGAGGAGAATTATTGAAGAGGTAATGGAGCGGCAGATACAGGTGCACCTCATGCAAGTCTGAACGTAACAAGCCAGGTCAGAGTGAAGGGGTTCTGCCTCTCAGGAGGCGTGGAAATATTATGCAGGAGAAAAAAGAGACTACCGTATATACTCGAGTATAAGCCTAGGGTAGGAAATGAGGCAGCTACTGGTAAATGTAAAAAATGAAGATAGATACCGGGTCTAGCCCCGGAAGTCGGGGCGAAAGCTGCTCCGGTGCCCCTGGTCTGCTGGAGACCGCCTCCAGCAGACCAGGGGCACCGGAGCAGCTTTCGCCCCGACTTCCGGGGCTAGACCCGGCCAGACCCGGCCAGCGGCAGAGACGCGCTGAGCCCGCCCGCCTCAGTTCTCGAGATGCTGACTCGAGTATAAGCCGAGTTTTTCAGCACAGTTTTTGTGCTGAAAAATGCCCCCCTCGGCTTATACTCGAGTCAGCATCTCGAGAACTGAGGCGGGCGGGCTCAGCGCGTCTCTGCCGCTGGCCGGGTCTGGCCGGGTCTAGCCCCGGAAGTCGGGGCGAAAGCTGCTCCGGTGCCCCTGGTCTGCTGGAGACCGCCTCCAGCAGACCAGGGGCACCGGAGCAGCTTTCGCCCCGACTTCCGGGGCTAGACCCGGCCAGACCCGGCCAGCGGCAGAGACGCGCTGAGCCCGCCCGCCTCAGTTCTCGAGATGCTGACTCGAGTATAAGCCGAGTTTTTCAGCACAGTTTTTGTGCTGAAAAATGCCCCCCTCGGCTTATACTCGAGTCAATACTTTTCCCCAGTTTTTTGGGGTAAAATTAGGTGCCTCGGCTTATATTCGGGTCGACTTATACTCGAGTATATACGGTAAGTTCTCCTCAGTACACTACCTACATTCCAACTGTCTATGGCAGATAAGACCTTCAACGGACCCTCTCTCATATACATGCATTTTAAGACAGACCTTACTGCTTGCCTGGTGCTGTTCTAGAAGTAACACTTCGTTTCCTTTCACTCGATAGGAAAGCCATATGTGTTTTCACTACTTTTCCTTTGGTGTTTACATGCGAATAGAACAGCAGAATTTATTTACAGCTGCAATACTGAAATTGAGGTTTTACATCAAGTCTTTTGCCAATGTGTTAAGGAGTATTTTTTTTTCTTCTATTAAAGAAAAAGTTTTAGGGCCAGACACGTACATTGTAAACTTCTCCTCTTAGAAGTCAGAGGTGTGCATTTAGAGTAGGTAAGAGGTCAGAAGTACTAGAGCATATCCCTGACTCTACCATTAATTTACAGTACAATTCACCGCAGATAAAAATTTAAGGCTGGCTTCTAATTGGAGGTGGCCCACCAATCTTCAGAGTTGCTGAACATCAGCAGCTCCTACCCAACTTCAACTGAAAGCCACTGTAGAAAGTGTGGATATTAAAATCTCTGCACCTCAATTTACCCATCTATAAAATGCAAAGATTCTTACCAAAACGAGTGCTCACAGAACTAGCTCACTGATTAATCTACAGTGTTTAATATCTCCAAAAGGCATAATACAAGACCAAAGTATTAGCATACTAACTCTTGTATGTTTAATAAAGACTTCCACTGCTGGAAAAAAAAAAGGGGGGGGGGGGCCGATCTAAAACGTACAATTTTCTGGCCACTCTGCTGCCCTAAAGGCAGTGCTTTGGCAGACAGCACTGCACTAAGCTTTTTGGGAGAAGACTGGGCATGATTCATTTCAGGTTCGGTTTCTTTCAGTGGGCATTTGACAGGAGAGTGGGTACAGATGTTTGGAATCACATGGCTAGCACTTGGTGCAAATGGAGGGAGTTGATGGGAATGCTCTGTGACAAGAAGGTGCCGAGTAAACTATTAGGTCAGAAATGACAAGGTCTGAATGCTGACCAGTGAGGAAGAGAGAACTAGCAGTTACAGGACAAAGACCATGAGCAAGACCCAGAACATGTGGTTTGAGATGCTGAAAGAGGACGTGAAGGTTGGTGTCCCTTTGGAAGATGCTGAAGGACAAGAGCTGCCAACCCTGACTAAAAAGCAAGGCAGAGAAGCAGCAGCAGCTCCCTTGGGCATTTTAACTTATCGGAAGGGTTTTCATTTTTCTTGGACATCAGATCTTGCCCTTGAAGTAGACAGAGATTTTGAGGAAAGCATCCGAACGTAAATTTGTTTCGCTCTTCTCAATTGTTCAGGCTACTGAAATAAGAGACTGGTCCACAACAACACTACAAAGAAACGGAATCAACTCTTGATTACACTGGGGGATCCTGAGGCAAAGTTAATACACAGTATTTCTATGTTGCCCTCCACCTAAAGAAGCAGTTTACAAACACAAGTTAAGTCTGAACACTAATGTGAGGAAGGTCGAGTGAGTTTCATAGAAAGGTGAATGGAAAGCAGAGAGCAATTGATTCCTTCAAGGTCTCAAAGTCTGTGGCAAAGCTGGGGACAGAACCTGGCTCTTGATAGCCATGCCAGTGTGACCTGGATTTTATGACTTCCTGCCCCAAATGCCATCAGCTCTCTCAATCATACTCCATATGCCAAGACCACGAGGCTTGAGAAGGGACCTCAGCACCATGGCAAGTGAGTGGTGCAGAAGAACTAGCACGTCGCTCAGCGATAGCTGGCCATTCTATGAAGAGACACACGAGGGCCTCCTGGCAAACAGCAAGTCACACCGCTGGCGGACTCGTGAGGACGCGGAGAAGCCCGGGACATACTACGTTCACAAGTAAAACGCTGAAGCAGGAACACTCAACCTGCGGCTCTAGCCACGTGCAGCTTTTTCACAGTTCTCTTTCCAAACCAGAAGGTGGAACTCTGGCTGCACCGGAGAAAAAGCCAATAATTTAAAACAAAACCCAGGGAGAAACGTGGGACTGACAGACAGAAAACATGCTTCTCAAGAATGATGTCAGATGGAACGCTAGAGAGCTCAGTAAGCTCTCACTATTGTAATAACTGCTGAGCGCGCACCCTGTATTGAGCGGATTTCATTGTTACTTTATCATACATTTGTTACATAGCATTGTGTATTCGAGTTGTGCTGAATAGTAGTATCTCTCCACCACTAGTGTAAGCAGCTGAAAAGCTGTTGAACCAAGTGCCACTCAGACTATAAGCACAATAGCAGTGGAAGAGATCGAGAGAGAGGAGAACGAGACAATGTGGTGCGGAGAAGTAATCAAAAGGGCACAACTCATCCCTATTGTCTGAACCAAAAGTTCCACTGGAGTCAGAGGACAGGCAGACTGGAAACACTGCAGCAAAGAAAAGAAAGGGAAGCTCATGGATGCAGTGAGTTACTTGAAGGCTTTCACCAGTGGAGATCTGGCTTGCAAGTTGTATAGTTTATCATCTCCTTGAGACTGGTATCCGTTTATCTACATAGTCACCTCAAAACCTAGCTTATGAGCAAAAGAATATTATACCACCCTTAACATTAAAAGGAAACCCCCTTTTTTCCTTGACATTAAAATTAGAAACACAAAGTTTCAGACCCAAATTCTCATGATGCTAGAAAGTTTTAGTTTTGGGGATTTGGATTCCGGACAAATTTATTTCACATAATCTTGTGTTATTTATGATTGCGGGGACACTTCCAGCATACTGTAAAAACAGATAAGCAGGCGTTAACTTGCCAAAAACATTACCTTTCAGGCTGCAATTTCTCAGGTTTGTTTTCAGTCCAAAGACTCTCTTCACAAGTGAAGTAAAATTACCGTAAGCTATTTGAAATACCTAAGCATGCAATTTCCCACTCCCAACCAAGGATCTCATCTGCAAACACTTCCACAATCAAGTTTACAAAGGTGCTTTTCACACGCCACTTTAAAAAGCTTTTGTAAACAGTCCAGCTCAAAAATCAGCATATTTTTCAGCACAGTCATTAACGTCACAGAGGCACTCAGTGAAAGTGTAGCGTGTACTCTACAAGAGCAGCAAGCGTTCTGTATATTTGGAAGCAAGTTCATTGCAATAGAAACGGAGATAATGTAGCACCAGCTACATTAAACCATCCACATGTATGAGAGAGAATATAGAGGAGACAACATTTAAGTACACATGGTGAACCCAGGTGAATGTGATGAAAACGAAACAAGGAAATTAAATACAGGGTTGTTTTGGTACTAATACCTCACTACTGTTGAGATTTAAAACTCAACCTTTGAGATTTCCATGACCATGTGAATTTCCCAACTTTTGTAACCATTACTGTGTACTTTCCACCACTCACTTCTAAAATCCTTTCGAGTATAATGGAGGAAAAAACCAAAAATGGAACCAAACATTCAAGGATGTTATCTTAGGTTCATTTAAGACATTCACGTCACAGCAGTATTGGGAAAAATAAGCAGAAAGCTTACCCCATCTGGCAGTGCTCTCCAGCACACAGCACTGACAAACTCATTTGTGTCGTCCTCTTTCCGGTCCTTGTCCAGGACGCTTTTGACTGTGTCAAATTTGAAAGTCAGAAGTGTCTTTGAGAGGCCTTTGTAGTACAGGTAGAGGGAGTTATTTTCACTTCCTATAAATACAAGCAAATCAATAAAGTGCTAGAAATGGACCCCCGATAAGCAAGGCTTCCTTTTAAAATCTTTTATTGTGAGTAGAAAATTATGTCAGCCTAGTTCCTGGGAGTTTAATGGCCCCCTCTACATCCCATCATTGATGGCTGCTGCAACTAGAGTACAGGATTGCTACAGTAACCATGGCTAACTGTTATAATTACAAGAGGATCAATACACGATTGCAACACTATTTCGGTCTATCGTGCAGTTGGAGATGCCGAATTACATTGGTCTGAGTGTTCATTTTAACAACAGGAAGAGAAACATCTCCGTGGAAGCGAGGTGTGGTTTAAAAAAAGTTCGTTTTGTGTCCTAAAAAGTTGTCTGAATACAGGAAATTCGACTGGTTTGTTTATATAGAGTGCTGTGCTAACTGACACACGACACTCGGGTTCATCCAATGGGTATTAAATCCCGAACTTCCCTAAAAGGCTGAAGAGGGATTTTTTTTAGTTTCATTCTTACTTTCTCGTATTCAGGGTAGCTGTGTTACTTGTGGACTTCTCAGTGAACTTCTGGTGGCTAAAGCAAATCATTTAAGTTAAGCCAGAGCTGGAGTAATTGCACACTACCATACGGCTACTACTTTTTTATACTAGTCTCCAGGCAAAGGCTGAGGAGGGGTGAGGCTAGGAATAACCCCATATTTCCTAAGAGGTCTCTTTCTAAGCATACTTCTCATAAGCAAAGCAAGCTGAGGAGCCATACAGTCATTTCTTTAGGTGGCGGCTGGACTCACCACAGGCAATGTAATCGCCGTTGGATGCCAGACCTACAAAATTCTTCTCATTGATGTGACCCTTGAAGGAGCGCAGGCAGTGAGGTTTCCCTACGTTCCACAGCTTCAGCTGGCTGTCCGTTGACCTAAAAATCAGACCGCAGAGTCAGAATGCCTCCATAAACGGTCCCAGTTTGAACTGTGATCCCTTAGTGAGGCACTTACAACCCTCACACAGCACACTCGATACCGGATTTCATGTCTTGCTCAAACTGAACTAGTGCAAGTATCACATTACGGTACAGCCTGTCAAATGGGTGTCTAGGCTGCACAAAAAACTATCCCACAAGCTTCAGAGAGATAGCCCCTTACGTCTGTTTCAGCAAAAACAACAAAGTCCAGTGGGACCTTAAAGACTAACAGTCTTATAATGGCATAAACTTTCATGAGTGGCAACTCTCCATCAGATGCATGAAGTGAAAAAAAAAGGGATACAGATATGGGAGTGTTACACCAGCGCTAATTCAATCAGAGAGGAGGTAGATAAGAAGGTGAGAACAGCAAAAGGGTAAAATTACTTCTGGATCCACTAAGTCCTAAAACATTATAGATGATACCAAGCTGAGAGGGGTTGCAACTGCTTTGGAGGCTAGGGTCATAATTCAAAATGATCTGGACAAACTGGAGAAATGGTCTGAGGTAAACAGGATGAAGTTTAATAAGAACAAATGCAAAGTACTCCACTTAGGAAGGAACAATCAGTTTCACAAGCACAGAATGGGAAGCAACGGTGTAGAAAGGAGCACTGCAGAAAGGGACCTAGGGATCATATAGCGGACCACAAGCTAAACATGAGCCAACAGTGTGAGGCTGTTGGAAAAAGAGCAAATATGATTCTAGGATGCATTAAGAGGAGTGTTGCAAGCAACACACGAGAAGTCATTCTTCCATTCTATTTTGCGCTAATTAGGCCTCAACTGGAATAGTGTGTCCAGTTCTGGGCACCACATTTCAAGAAAGATGTGGAGAAATTGGAGAAGGTCCAGAGAAAAGGAACAAAAATGATGAACGGCCTAGAGAACATAACCGATGAAGGAAGACTGAAAGAATTGCGCTTGTTTATTTCGGAAAGGAGAAGACAATGGGGACATGATAGCCGTCTTCAGGTATTTAAAAGGGTGTCAACAAGGAGGAGGGAGACAAGTTGTTCTCCTTGGCCTCTGAGGATAGGACAAGAAGCAATGGGCTTAAACTGCAGCAAGGAAAGTAAGTTGGACATTAGGAAAACTTCCTAACTGTCAGGGTGGTTAAACACTGGAATAAGTTGCCTAAGGAGGTTGTGGAATCTCCATCTCTGGAGATATTTAAGAGCAGGTTAAGACAGACATCTACCAGGGATGGTCTAGACAGTACTGGGTCCTGCAGGGGGGGCAGAGGACTGGACTCCATGACCTCTCGAGGTCCCTTCCAGTTCTAGCGTTCTATGATTCCGTTTGTTACAGTGAACAGAACATTTGGGTGGTTTCTAAAAACACATTACAATTCCTCTTCTCTTCAGAGTCCTGAAATGGTGAGACTTGGGGTAATAATGCCAAGCAGCTGGATAAGAAAAAAGCAATACTGCAGTTAAAAAAAAATCAGAGTTAAGTGTAAGTGGTAAATGAAGACTCCATGATGTACCATAAAGGTTTTATTAGCACTAAACTCCTAACTCACTCGCAAGAGTGTAACATGCCAATCCAGTAGGCATATGCTAAATCAACATACTCCTGTAGACAAAAGCTGTTAAAAAGCACTTAACATGTCTTCAGGGCCCATCTAGAAGAGTTACCAACACAATGCTGCCTCCTAAATTGTCAGACTTCTGCTGGCTTGCACAATCAGACCCATCAAGAAGGTCTTCGTAGATAGGCACTTAACCTTTGTGTTTTAGTGTCCTAAAGTTTACGGACACTACCACCACACAGCAGGGAAAGAAAAAGACCACTGATCCCCTCTCTTACACTCCTCCATTTTATATCCTCTCAAAAAAAAATTACCCCGAATACACTGCTCTGTCAAATTGAAGTGTCTGTAAATCAGCACCATGATCAATGCACCCTGCTAAACATTAGGTAGTTCTGAACACTGCCGGAGGTGGTCAAAGCCTAACTTAACAAGGCTGAACCAATCAATACCATCTATGACATGGCTTGAGTTGGAAATAAAAAGAATTGTATTTGTATATTTTGGATTAAAGCTGCTCATCTTTGGTACTCAAACCCTACAATCATCTCCTCTCCCAAACGCTGGAAAGCTATAAACAAAAGCAACCTACTTGTTACAAATTAATTCCAGCTCAGAGTGGAAGGAGAAGTCCCAGCTTTGCATGCACAATACCTGCAACGCTGCTGTTGCCTTATCAGAGGCTGACAGCTCTATCAATATCCCTCCCAGGATTGTGGAATAAACACTCACATAGCGAGCTCTCAAGCAAGGTGGTGCCATTTCGTCCTTACATGCCCCACGTACGGCCTGCCAGCTGGTCACTTATCTACAACAGTTCCTGCCTTTCACTTTCCCAAAATGCTTCATTTCTACACAGCATTCAGTTCAACCAAAAGCAGGGGCTCTAAAAATACGTGCGCATCTTTTAGAGAGCAGTAATGCTGAGGAAAGGGAGGTGAGAATGGAACCGATTAAAATCGGACATCACTGGAAAGCTTCCCTCATACAACCGTCAATAAGCGACTGACCTGATGTATGCTATACATTCTAGCATTGAACTAGCATTTATACACCTCAGGACTTAAACATCCCATTCTGTTCCGGCCCTATGACCTAAGTAAGAAAAACACTGGTTTAATCAGGATGTGTAAAACTGGTATGGTTTCCAATATGGAGAAGTGTCCACTAAACTTAGCCCGTCAGTGCCTTTATTTCTGACCCAAGTTAAATTTGCACTCAAGGCTTTCGAGAAGATTCATCTATTTGTTCTACAAAGCACAGCAGTCTGCTGTTTAACAGAATGACAATTTACAAGTACATGCTATACACTCACCCACACAAGCATAACAGTCGAGAATGATGCTTACAAGATCTTAGTCTGTAACTACCATGATTCTAGACCCTGTGGAAGGAAATACTTACGCAGAGACAATTTCTTCCCCACTCACAAACTTTGCATAGGAGACTGCCTTGCGATGCCCTTTGAACACCATGATTGGCTGCTTAGTGTTGCGAAGATCATAGTAGTGAACACAGTGATCTAGAGACAAGGGGAGAAGAGAGGGTACAGAAGCAAAACCTATTAGGAGGTGGTGATATGCATCTCATATCTAATCAATCAGCTCAAAATCAGAGACATGAAAAACAGCACAAAGTGCTGAAGTGCACAGGAAGAAGCCCAGAAATCAAGTCTAAGGACTCCTTGTCTCTGGCGTAAGTGAAGCTTGTTAGCTAGCAGTTTGTTCCAGAGAACTGGTGGGAGACTCAGTCTGCTGCTGAATTTGCAATGTGGAGAGCATGGGCTAGATTTTCGTGTTTATCCAAAATGGACTCCATTTGCTTCCTTTCTCTCCCACCACCTTCATTTCTAATGGAGAGAATCGGCCTGTTGGTCAAGGAGGGAAAAGTGTCTGGATTCCAACTTCTTTTAAGAACTATTTCACAGATGTGCTGCACTGCCACACTATGTACAAGTAGCTCTGCATTTAACATTTCAGAGCAGCTAAAACTCAATTCTCAGAAAAGAATAGGGAAAAACCCAGCTGACCCAAACTCTAGAATACACCAGTCCGTCTCTTCTGTCCAGCAAGATCAGCTCCTTCCTTCCCCTTTTTTCATTTATGCAGAATTTAACCAACCAATTGCATTATTAAAACCAGGGATGTGGGATGTGTGTGAAAATTAAAAATCCCATCCCCACCTAAGGGGGAAAATACATATTTAGCTTGATACGCCTTTCGTTATCCTCCCAACAAATCAACCCCCCTCCCGTTGGGGTGTATTAAGAGTACATTTAAATGGGTTTTAATGCCAGGTACAGAAACTGAATAAGTTTGTTACTCTTGGAATTTCAAGACAGTATTAAGAGTCTTAAAAATGACACCCAGATTGTCTAGAAATCCCAAGAGGTTAGAGAGATCAGGATTTAAACCTATTAAGTTACGGTCATAAAAACTGCCACTGATTAAGCAAAGGCAGCTTTTTACCTGGAGAAGCAGATAAATCATTTGTCTGTGGCTATAGAGGTGGTTCTGTCAAGCACAGCTTAAATAAAATGAGAAATAGGTAGTCATGTCCTTTTACATCCAGCACCCTTTGTGATTCGTGTTCTCTCTGTAGGTCAACACAAAGTTTTTGGGAAAGAGGTTTCCCCGTCTCTTTTTCAAACCCTGTCTGTGTATATTGCAAAAGCTTCAAAGCAGTCATTTTGTGTTCTGCCCACCAAGTCGCTGCTTGACACGCAGCTTAAATAAAATGAGAAATAGGTAGTCATGTCCTTTTACATCCAGCACCCTTTGTGATTCGTGTTCTCTCTGTAGGTCAACACAAAGTTTTTGGGAAAGAGGTTTCCCCGTCTCTTTTTCAAACCCTGTCTGTGTATATTGCAAAAGCTTCAAAGCAGTCATTTTGTGTTCTGCCCACCAAGTCGCTGCTTGACACGATTCCAGCGCATGGCCACTGCCATTCAAACCGTTTGAAAGACTGCCTTAGCTTTTGGCAGCTCTCTCTTGAGAACTACTGTTTCTATTACAATAAAATATTAGCCCACTATTCATCCAAACCCCAGGTCATCCCTTCATTTTTAATACTGTAATCTACTACCGGATGAAACGATGCACCAGTTCACTCAGTGAAAGGAGAGACTTTCTGAAGTGCCTAGGAGACTGAAGCGCTCGAATCCCACTACTGGAATGTGGGTGCTTAACTCTCTTTGGCTCCTTTGAAAAATCTCAGCCTACATATGGTACTCTGGCGTACTGTACTCTGGCAAACCTGCATGATTTGGCAGCTCTGAAGCCGTGAATTGGCTGCAGCTACTTTAACAAACGAGGTGCTTCCAACAAGTCTTCTGTGAGGAACTTGTTACTGTATAAGCTGTTTTAAAGCTATTTTAATTTGGGATCAGCCTCCTCTCCAGCTGGACAGTCCTTATCTAAAATGGAAGACCCCTTCGGCGTGCTGCAGATTTCATACTTCAGGTGGCGATGGGGGGAGGCGTGGGTGGGGAGGGAAATGGAATGAATAAGCACCTGGATGAACAGACAGGAGGTGGCCTCCATTTGCTCTGGTAAGATGTGAAGTGGCGCTCACCTTCTGAACACTGCAATAAACAACTCCAAGTGTTCAGGCATCTGGCCCCAGCACCAAGTGCCTATCTATGTTGGCAGGACAATCAATCATTGCCTGCTTGGATCAGCGAGAGTCCAAGAGAACAGCTAGGCTGCCGGGTTCTAAAATTAGCCACTTAATTATTAATTGCTTATTTCGTCAGTGAAAGGATTCGTACCCAGCCAAGGTTTTGGGGGGTTTTTTTTAAATGAAACTCAAGCAGCTATTTTTAAGTAGATATATCAAGACTAATGCTCATTGCATTCATTAAAATCAGAACAGGTGGTCACATTTTACAATTAGAGAGACTCTCTTTTAGGCCATATGGGCGGTCACAACACAAGATAAAAATGCCATCTGCTAAGAAAAGAAGAGATCTTTAAAACCACCCAAAAGGAGAAAAATAAAAATTTCAGGTATCCCAGCAAGACAACTCTCCCAGTGAATGATAATGAACTGAGAATTGTCCACAACTGGCAGCATTTCTGGCATTCCCCTCTGTCATTGGTTAGACTCCTAGCACACTTCTGTTAAAGCCCAGCAATCATGAAAGCGAAGCAGCGCGCCAAAAAACATTGAACGCTGCTTTCCACGTGAACCCAAATAAAAATTTCAGGTATCCCAGCAAGACAACTCTCCCAGTGAATGATAATGAACTGAGAATTGTCCACAACTGGCAGCATTTCTGGCATTCCCCTCTGTCATTGGTTAGACTCCTAGCACACTTCTGTTAAAGCCCAGCAATCATGAAAGCGAAGCAGCGCGCCAAAAAACATTGAACGCTGCTTTCCACGTGAACCCTTCTCC